CCACTATATATTCGTAAGTTAGGGGAAGTGGACCACAAGAACAATTTGCCAATCAAGCGATGCAAAAATAACCCCCTACATTAAGAAACCCCCCACCAGATCTTGTTATAAATTGTTAAAGCAACAGAAAGAATACATAACGATTAGAGAAGAGCAAGTTGCAAGCAGCCGAATTTTAATAAAAGCGTACCGACGAGACATATGATACAAGCAAAGAAAGTAAAAATTGGGAGGTACTGCCTAAAATTCTACATAAACTTACAGCAAACAATGGTAAAAGGAAATTTGCCTGAAAAACAACTTTAAATGTAACATGAAAGAACACAGGAATATCGTGGCAACCTGAGGCACTAAGAGCTAGGTTGCCTCTTTTCCGATCTGACAAGGGAGAGCTAAATCACATCTTATAATTAATCGGATCCTGACCCCAATTATTCTCGAGTTAAAATAAGCATCAAAAAGACCACGGTATGCACTCATACAATCAAGTTCCTATTAGTTCATTACCAGCTTTCGTAGTGCGGCAAATGCGAACTGGACAAAGAGTTCCCACTTACTCTTGATTCGCTCCCTTTCCTCATTAATCTTGTTGGATAATTTATCCACGGTAAAGGCTAAATCCAAAGAAAGTTAAAGAAACACAACCTACAGATTTCATGGACAAGTTCCTCCAACTGAGACATATTCCACAAATCTGAAAGGGTAGTAAAATTCAGACACTACCACAGAACTAATAAAGGGAACATAAAGTTGGCCTTTATATGGGTTAATTTACTCACAAACATGTAATTGTTGACATTAAAAGCTCCCACTACCAAAAAGCAAAGGAGACAAAGCAAAGTAAAAGGAGCAATCAAACACGTCTACTAATGGGGTTTTGTAAGCAATTGACCGCAGAATGACTAGGTTTCGAGGAAATAAACATTTGTTTAACGCAGTAATTAGCAAGTTGAAAAGCTACCACGTGATTAGAAATGGGGTTCATGTAAACAAATAAACCAAACGCAATTGAACTCATTTTCATAAAGTTGACAGTTCTCCTTAAATGTCGTTTGTCGACATTTATGAGGATTCGCTAAATTCATATTAACACTGCTAACATCTGAGGTAACTGGATTTTTTGTTCCTAAGTCTTTTGTTGCAAGTTAGTGAATCGGTAATAATTCCACTTGTCTTATATTGCTAAGGAAACACAACTAATTCTTACTTAGAATGGCACATGCGGCTTAATAATAAGGCGAAAAATTGAGGCTGAACCAATTGTCGCCTGGATTTACTGCTGAACCGTTTCTTTTACGGTGCTGCTTGAATGTAAACCAAAACACGTGAGTGTTCCTGTGCTCAAGCCATAGGGTCTACGCCAACGCCCCCACATCTTGTCAAACATTTGCACAAATTTAAAAATTTTATCACGGACTTCACAAACGCTCCAGGCATTTTGGAGAATTCCTTGATTAATATGTCTATCGCCTACCTCATCCGCTTAGTCTAATATGCTCAATTCAAACATAATTATGCAATGAAAATTTATGAAGTAAATTTATCAAATGAAGCTTCTTGTGAAGGGCTGATCTGCAGTCACTTGATGTAATAAATTCACACATCGCAACCAGGGGTGCTTTCATGAGTATGCTGAATTTTCGAGGCAGAGCAAATGTTTCACACATCAAACACTTGCCTTTTGTTGCAAACCCACTGGTGTCGCAATCTTCAGTAACGTAAGGAATCTGTTTGCATACATTTATGTACTGTCTTAAGGATAATTTTAAAAAAAGGAAGCTAAGAAAACATGGTCTTGTCCATGGTGTTAACGTTTGGAAATGCTCTGGGTCGCTAGTGCCATCGAAACCAATACGAAAGGGTAAACATCTTTTAATCCACGTCTCTGGCTCTCCACATGATGAAGCTAAAGTATTAAGCAGCCAAACGAATTGCTCGCATCACTGGCAGAGGTATGACCACGCTGTCTGTTGCCTCCCGAGACTTCCCATCACACAACAGAAGGCAGTAAGTAGGACTGACGACATCTACTCAAAGTGAAAAGCAATGTGTTAGGCTTTGGCTTGGCTTTAAGGTCAGCTCAGTCAACCAAGAGGAAGATGATAGCAAAGTGACCTCCGGTCATACAAGTGAGCAAGGTATTACATTGTTCCACAATGTCTTGAATACTGTTTGCTTTGTGTATGCATTGAGGGAGAAGTGGCAATGCATGGGAGTCGACAGTTTTGTCCACCTCTAATCGTGGGGCCACCAACCAAAAGGCAGGTCCACATAACAAAATGCAAGAAGGTAAGTTTTTATGACTTTTCCGCCTTTAGGTTTCGTATATCACTTTGTAGGGAGCTCTTCCGGATGCTGCTCCGCTTCCATAAGGCAGGAGTGGTTGACTTAGGCAAGGGTAATTGCTAACCTAACTGTCAAGTGTGGTTAGTTACACCTCCGTCTGCAGCATAAACTAAGTTAGCTGTCGTTTACAGGCGCACTTGACTTCACCTTCAACCAACGTAGCCACTTCCGACCTTCCCATCAGATTACCTGTGGGGTGGACTACTGCTGTGGACCGAAAACTAAGGGGATAGGGGAACCTTGCGATGACCCTTCATCAAAAACCGAGATTTCGATAAAGAATCTTAGCACGTCGTCCAACCTTTCCTTACAAAATGCATTCCTTTTTCCTGAATGGACTCACGAATAGGAACATATGTGGGTAGATAGACCGATTGCAGCTTACACCTTTGCCTTTAAAAAGAGTTTAATTTTCTTGAAATTAAGCATTCACAATCGCTGAACAGATGACTCGCTTTCCTCCGTGTGGAGTGATTTTCATCCCCTCGGTTGTGGTGTGTTGTTGCAGTCACCCATTCAACTTCATCAACTGATAGCAAAATTTGTGAGCCTCTTCTCGTCTTCTTCTACCTAATACCTCCCTTGACTAGAGTTGATAGGCGTATTAACCGCTCCCCATTGTGTATCAGGTGATATTTGGTTGGGTGTGTTCTTGTCTCCAGTTACACCTATTAAGGTGTGGGGGCGAGTGTCGTGATTAAATACGATTCACTATTTCTTCCCTTGATTTACTTAAGAATTGTATAGCTATAAGAGGCTGCAGCGGTGCCTTTGACAACCGTTTCAAGGTGGTCTCCGACTCAACATTACGCCTACGGCTTTTGTAGCCCTCTGTCCCGATGGTTGGCGGCTCCGCCTTCAGCAGGAGTGACACAAGCACAAGTCATCTCTCGATTGTGGTAAATTCTCTAGGGCTAAGTGTTAAAGTAAACTCTCCAAACGACCTGAAAAAGGCCCTGTCAACCGGCATGACGGCTTTGCCACGGCTTTAGCCTGTCGCCAAAACCTGCCTGCAATGCAATGCTTAGTCACTCGAGGGAGGGTTTCATTCAAGCCCTACTCATCATACAAAATGACGCAGCTTAAAAAATTGCCCTATTCTCTACTTCTCGCATCAAATTGTGATACTTTTAGTTGACTGATTCGTGAGAATAAGGTTATTCATGCACTTCGATCCTTCAAGGCTAAACTAAACCACCCACTTATTTCACACTTATAAAGTAGGTGTAACCTCACCTCTCGAGGCTTCACTGCTGTCAGCCTTTTAGGCCTCATGAAAGGAAAACAGTTTTGGCGGAGATCGGCTTGGTTTCTTAATTGCTACCTGGATGAGTGCAATGAGGAGTGAGCTATTAACCGATCAGCCCCTTGGAAAAATTCCTTCTGCACAGACTGACAAAGCGATCCAAAAACGCTAGCCCCAAAATAACAAAGCAATCAAGAGTTGATCCCGATCATTGCGAAGAAATCTTTCTTAAACATTACATTCCGAAAATTACAGTTTTGGCTAATTGGATTTGAAGAGCGGATTGATGAAAACAACAGAGTGCATTCACATTGTAAAAACTTCCTTCAAAAGTTGTCCGAAAAAACTCTAATTTACATTTAAAACAAAGGGGGGATTATGTAGGCCTTTGCAGACGCCTAAATCGTCGACAAAAAACGTTGCCGTTCGGTTGATACCCATTTAGAAGGCTGTCGAGTTTTAAAACATTCGTAATCAAGTTTTAAAGTACGTTAAATGTTTTACTTAAATTTATTAAGTAGCTGTAATTGACTGATTTTTGCTATTGTCGTGGAGACGAAATTCTTTAGTGCAGATGTTTAGGTCTCTTGTGTCGTGTAGTCAAATTAATTGCAATGATCGAAATGCTTACATTCACGCATAACCGTAAAAGTCTTCTTGTGACTTAAAATTTTTTCCTTTTCCAAGCTTTACAAAATATATTGAACAGTTTAATTTCTAAACACTAGTCTAAACTCTTTGCTTGGACTCCTCTTTGAAAGGGCTTTGAAGAAATCTAATAATAACAGCATAAAACAAGTCTGAACTACTAAGTTAAGCATCGTTATTTAGGAGGCTAAGTGTTGATATTACTAGGGAGTGACCACACGATAATAAAACGTTCACCTATTGTATCAACATCTATTTTTGGCGACCCAATCCTCTCCAAAGTCTATGGCAGAAGCTAAAGGTGATGTTCATTGACCAACTGAGAAAACTCATTACAAATGTAGTTGAAAGGCCTACTTGAATGTGACATTGCAGTAGCCATAAAGCACTCCTCTCAGATTAGAGAACATTTATATGCGCAATAAAAAATTAACTTTTCAGTTTCAACATAAGAAATAAATTTTGGACAAAACAATTATAACAGGACCAATTTGACACACATCTGCTTTTTTAACCCATAAACGGATGTTTACGATGAAATTCACAGTCTCTTCACTCCACTACAATCGTACTAAGGAAAAAAACACCAACTGGCTAACGTTGAAAGTGAAGTTGGTGAGGATTCGGATGATGTCTCCTTGCGGGGTGAATGCCACGTTTGGTGAGCGGAAGTGAGTATTTCGGCACTCACGTTGAGGTTACAAGTTGAGGTCCTTCACCGATACGAACGAGATGAAGAAGGAAGAGGAGGAGGAGGAGGAGGAGGGTACACCAACACTGCTCTTCTTCGTCGTTGTCGTCCTCCTCCTCGTCCTCCTCCTCCAAGGCTGATGTCACACTTTGACAACCTCGTCTTCACTTCGGCATCAACGCGAAACAACACAAAGCGATAGAAGTTTAGTGCAAGGCAGGGCGAGGCGAGGCGGGGAGGGGCGGGGGAGGTGGGGTGGAGTGAGGTGGGGTGGAGCAGGCAGGCAGGCAGTTAGAGCAGGTTAGGAAAGGGTTGGGGAGGTGGCAGAGCCCCAGTCCACCTCACTCGGGTTGTGAGGACACTTCTGGTCTCCGTTTCAACCTCCTCCTATTCCACCTTTCATCGCTTCCTCCTTCCCACCTCCCTCTACCTCTCCATCTCGCATCCTCTCACACCACACCTCCCAACCACAACGACATTCCTCCCAACCTTCTCGTCTCCCCTCACACCACATCATCGCTGCCACCACTCGCCAATAGGACTGTCACTCGGACCACAACTGCGCATTACAAACCACCAACAATGGCCGCCTCATCAACCATCACCACCAGCACCACACCAACTCTGATAGCATCACAACTTCAACGTCGACATCGAAATGGACACAATCGCTCGTGCAGCACAATGCTCTTGTGAATTCACCAAAGCACTGCCTCCTTATTTATTTATTTTTTGTTTTTTTTTGTTTTTGTCTCGACAAATCACATTGCTGTCGCGCAGTAAATATTTACACATAAACGAACGAATGGTGGACAGACGGCGAAGTGCTCCACGCAGAGGTCACGTAGTGTCCCTCATCAGAAGTGGCGTGTGAAGGAGGTGGTGTGGGTGGAGGAGAGGAGAAGGTGTAGGAAGATGGACGATGGGTAGGGGGAGGGGGATGGAGAGGGAGAGGGTGAGGGTGAGGGAGGGT